CTCTAGCTGATGATTGGGTAGGATTTTGGTAATTGTTAGGTTTGGTATTTAGAATTTAAACCCTAATTTTGGTCAGTTTTTAAAATTGGATTCCGGCCACTTCCGGCCATTTTTCGGGGTAGGTCCGAGAACAAAAGTGGCTCCAATTCATATTTTCAACCTAGGGTAGAAACCTTGGGCCTTAGTTTTTAGAATTTTCCGACGATTGCTATCGCTTTGGACACCCATGCGCTGCCTGCCGTGTGGTGGCGCGTGGGCGATTGTAGTAGTAATGCATTGGGTCCCAATGCACTCCCCTAATTGTCACGAGCGCGTAGGTGTGTTCGGATTCGAATTTGGTTACGGTTTGAGTCTCGAACGGATTTTGCCTATTCTGCGATTTCCGGGTTTGGTATGTTCGGACCGTTGGATCGAACTCAAACTCATGAAGGGTCTTACTTGTATTTCTAGGATCGTGTATGATTCGACGGATCGTGGATAGGAGTCCAGGATACTCCGAAATCGCAAACCCTAGGTCAAGCTATGCTTTTAATTAATTAGTTCAAATTCTGAATGACATTGTATATTTGTAAATTAGATTCATTGGTATGTGTATGAATGAAATTTTGCAGATGTCAGACTTGATTAGAAGTCGTAGGGCAGTGTCGACTGCACCGACTTTAGCGCCCCCGGCTCAGCCGGCATCTGCTGCCACTGTTCCTGCACTGATGGACCACGTGCCAGTTGGTCCCTGGGGATCCCAGGCTCCTGCATCATCAGCTTCATCAGTGGTGCTGCCGTTAGCGCTAGGCGGCGGCACCGGCCCACCAGCACCACCGATACCATGTCGACCGACGGTACTGGTGCCTCGGTGTCACAGCCAGGTATAGATATCCCTTCCACTGTAGTTCTTTTTTTAATTTTTTATATTCTGAATTTTATTGTTAAATTTGTTATTTATTTAACATTATTGTCATATCTCTTTGCAGCCAAGAAGAACACTCTAGGGCCGTGTCTGCAGCTGAAGACAGCGAAGGTCACCCGGGTGATCAACAGTCGTATTAGTATCGGATACGACGAGCGCCATTGGGCTGCACCGACGGCGGAGTTGCATAGCTCCTTGGCCACGACATTGGCCATGTCGTTCAGACCTATTGCCCGATGTAATGGAAGTCTTGCAAGGTCATGCCTGACGAGATCAAGATGAAGGTTTGTGGCCAGTTGTCGGTATGTAGCCTAACTTTTAATTATTTTTCTTTCAAACTTTATATATTTCTATTACTTAATGTATGTAAGTAATTTATTGCAGACGAACTATAACTTGGAGGACTTCGACGAAGAGTCGTTGGCGTACGTCAACAGACTCTTCGGTAAGAGGTACAAGCAGTGAAAGAGCGACTTGCACCACCATTTTCAGGCGTTTGATGATCCGCAAGTCGCTCTTCAGACCGTGGCT